GTCCATGTTTTTCTCATTGATGTGAAATGCCACCTCTACATTTGTCACATCCTTACATTACTCTTCCCCCTTACCATAGCTAAATACTATGTGTGAGCATCTGACCCCTGCCAAACGTGAGGTTCTTTTAATACGAAATATAGAAAATTGCTGCAGTGTCTCTTTAATGATGGACTCCACAAGGTGTGAGGCTTGACGGTTTTCAACAGTCAAGCTTCTTGCCACTTAACTCTGAAGTGAAGTCCACATCCAAAGAAAAGCAAATATTGTAGAGAAGGAGGCATGGTGATGCTTGATGCTTGAGTTCTGGTTATTTCTGAGATTCATCCCTGCCCTTTCCCACTATTCATATCCAACCCTTCCTTGAATTTATGAGCAAACTATTCTGCTTTTTGGCTTAAGCTTGCTCAAAATGGACGTCTAGCTTGTAACCAAAATAGGCCAAATACACACGGTGTGTCTGCCAAGGCTCAGAGGCATAGCAACACGGAGTACAGAGCTGAGTTGGACAAGGGCTAGGTGTCAGCCAAAATCTGTGACAGCTAGTCATCACTTAGGTCACCTGTGCCCTAGAACTGTTTGCTTCTTGGCTTTTATGTTTCTTCAGTTTCCTTTTCCTCTAGTTACCCAGACAAGTTTCATCTTTACGAAATTTAGGCCAGCCTCAGTTGAGTCAAAGGGAAAAATTTTCCACACCTGGGCTAGGCTAGGTAAGGGTTTCCAAGCATAACAGAAGCCAGGATCATGAAGGCAGTGGGCCTGGAGCAGCTAGAGAAGCACCTCAGGGCAGAGAAGTCCGGGATGACTGTAATCCCTGAGTCCTCCTCCACAGGATCTTGTGTCCCGTATCCTGAGGGGCACTCTGCCAGGCAGGAAGGCGTATCCATAGCATGAGTAAAGTGGAAGGAAAATGGCCTCTGTGGTCATGGGAGAAACTGAGAAGTGGAGGTTGAATGATGATAACCCGTCCACTCCCAGTGTTGTTTGTGCTGGGCCAGGGCCTTTCCCTTGCTTGGTTGGTAACTTGGGACAAGTCTTTCTAAAAAGATGACAGGAGGCCAGGGCTGGCACTTGTTCCTTGTCCAGGTTGAACAGACTAGACAAAGCTTCTGGTGTTGAGCAGGAGCCTATACGGAGGCACGATGAAGTCTGAGCACATGGCAGTTACAGAGAAGTAGGGCTGAGAGAGGTTGTGTCTCACAGGAGCACCTGAAGGCCACGAGAAATGGTTGAGTCTGGATCCGAACAAGGGGAACAACTATTGTTTTATATTATGAAAATACCAACAACATGTAAATCAATATACACACCTAATTTTTTCCCTCATTTTTAGCATTCTTTGCTGTTCAGTTCTCATATTTTTGGTGTTAGGCACAAATGCATCCAACTATCTGAAATAGGATAGAAAACTTCAGATTGAAAATATTTTCCCTGACCAAATAACACTTCACAGGTTTCTTTAAGTGAGAGGCAGTGTATTATTGTGGTTAGGAGCAACTGCCCTCAGCCCTCTGCCACTTTGAGCTGGCTGAGAGCTGTGCCGCATGCCAAGGATGGCAGGAAATAATGCACATTTCAAGTAGAGTCATTCTTCAGGAAGGAAGGGATAGTATGGAGGTTATAATTAGGGAAGTTGCATTGGAGCAATTTCCATGTTTTCCAGAGACCAGGGTTAGATAACAATGCAGGGAATGCCCCCCCTTGCCCCCCAAGTCCAAAAGTTAAGAGGAAGAATTTCTCCACCAGACACCATGACCTTAAGGTCAGCCCTCAGCCCCCAAAGTTCCTAAGGCCATTAGGCTCGAGGGGAGCAAAGTCCTTTCCTTTTGGGTGCCAGATTCTCATGCAAAAATTCTCATTGCTTTCATCTGTCTCCCCAGCTCACCCAGGTTCCTCCTAGCATTAGACCCTGGGATCTTATATTCAAGCTGCCTGTCTTGCCCTGAGTTCTAGGTTCTGCTCCCTTGCTGTTAGAGTACCAATACCCAACCTCTGTACTCCAGATTGAGGCTAAAAGCCCCCTTGCCCCCCGCAATTGGCCCCATGGTCTCTGAGTATCTTAGAAAATGTACAAAGAGGTTTTTCAGATTTCAGATATTTGACACAAATCAAGAGTAGTATAACCTTCATCAAGCCAATCATACTAGCAAGTAACCTGGCAAACATGAAAAGTTTATAAAATGTAATAGCCCAAAGGATTCCAAACACACATAATGTAAAGATTCCGCGTATTTTTAGGAATAATCTTTTGAATGTGATAGCATTGTCTCTCTGAAAAAGATGTCCTACAGATAGAAGACTCCAGTTTAATAAAAATGGCTATACTTGAATGAGTGATAGTGGAGGAACCCAGCCTTGGGAGCGGGTTTACTCGCGAACCGTGTACCACCAATACCAGTGTTGCCTAGATGTGGTAATTGGAACCAACTCTTTGTAGCTCATACCTGGTTTTGTTTCTTCTACCTACAGCCAGCCCCCTCTGAAGTGCATAAGTGTCCCACCCCAAGCCCACCCCTCTTGCTTCAATGTGCCAATGCTTATTAGTGCTTAAACTAGCACACAGGTGGGAGTCCTTGCTCTCATACCCATTGTCTGCTTGTTCTCCTTACTGTGCAGAGAGCAGCTCTGCACGCTTGCCTTCCACAGCCCACACTCCTGCTTTTTGGTTTATGCTTGTTCCTGCAGCCCAGAAGAGACATCCAGGATCATCCATGCCCTGCAATGCTCTTCACCAGCCTTGCCTCCTACCCTTGCGTGACCTTTGGCTGTTTTGTTTTTTTCCTCTCTTTTTTCCCCTCCAGTCTTCACCAGGCTTTTCATCAGACCCAACAGCCTATGAGCACAGACTGTAGGTCCCAATAGCAAGCATATATTGGTTGCTTCCCTAGTACTATCCCCCCACCCACCCCTTTGCCCCTTCATGTTCCCAGATTTTTCCTTGGAATTTTTTGCTTCCCCCACCGTGGGAAGCAATACAGCGTAGCAATTAAGAGAGCAGATCCTGGAGTCAGACTATGGGGGGTCCATTCCACCAATTATCAGCTGTATGAACTTTGGCCAACTACTTAACTTCTCTGTGCTTCATCAGTAAAATGGAGATAAAAATAGAGAGTTCGTGTGAGGGCAGCTAATCCTAATTAATGTAAGTGCTGTATGTTAGCTACTATTCTTCCCCACTGGGTGGAGGTGGTGGGATGGCCCCCAGCTCAGGTGTGGATAATGACTGACTTAAGCCAATTAACATAGCCCATCTGTAGTATCCATTCAGGCCAATGAGGCACAAGGAGATTTGCTGGGGCTTCAGGAAAGAAAAGCTTCCTCTTTTTTTCAGGACCGTTTCTCTTTCCCTGATTTGCACAAACCAACTGTAAGAAGACATTTGTGAGACAACGAGGGAAACTTGAACTCCAAGAATTAACTTATATTCAAAAATTATTAATGTTCTCAGGAGTGAAAACGGCATTGTGGTTTTGTAAAAAACAAAGGTTCTTATTTGGATATGCACATTATTTATGGGCGAATGTACAATGTCTGGAATGTGCTTGAGAATATTCCATGTCACCTCCAGGAAAAAATGTCATGGAGGAAATAGACAAAAAAAGATTGGCAAAAGTTACTGGATGATGGGTAGGTACATGGGGATTCATACTACTTGTTACATTTTTATCTACTTGAAAATCTAAGGAATAAAAAGGTTTTTTGAAAAGTCTCCTTGCTATGGAAGGAAAGGGTATTTTTGTCATCCAGAGGCCCTTTGGATGCTTTAAAACTAGAACCAATAACATGATTTCCTGTGTCAATTAGCTGACAGATGGGGCACATCTGCACCTGCCTCTTCTTGGTGAACTTTAGCACTTGAGAGAAGCAGCAGGGGGCCCGGAAACACAACAGAAGAGAGCAAGGGAGGCCAGGAGAGACATCAGCTGCAATTTTTGGTCAAGGGTTTATGAGGGCTTGGTTTTTCTAAATCTATGTATCAAACTAAAAGAAATCCTATATTACCTCTGACCTTAATCTGTAGGGGATATCAGCATCTGTGTGATTTAAATCCCTTCTGTTACATGTTCTGTGATAAAATCGGAGAGCTGGAAGAAACTGGAGAAAATACCCAACTGAACCATCTTATTTTGCACTCAGATGTGATATTAGAAGATTATGGTTGGTTGGGTGAGATACTACTCACTAAACTAGAAGACTGGCTTCCCCACTTTGTTGCATTTCTCCCTTGCTACCCTGACAAAATAAATAAGGCAATAAGATGAATGCACAGACTTTATTTTCTCTACAAATTTAGGTAAAGGCAACTTTGTAGAAGGAAACTATCTACATGTTCAAAAATGAGAAAGCCCAAACTTACTCAGTATTATATGTTAATTATATCTTAATAAACCTAGCAAAAAAAAATTTTTTTAACTTCTTAAAAAGAACCAGAAAGAGAAAATGGGAGGGTCCAGCTTCATGCAGTGGCTCCAGGATGATCAGAGAAAGAAACTAAAGTTGGCCAAGGATTAGCCATGATTTTCCTGAGTTGGTCCAGACTCCAGAGTTGTGACTAGTATCTCAAAGAGAGATTAGTCCAGAGTTTGGGTCTATAGTCCCTGGAAATACAGTGTATAACGCTGACGCTCCTGTCACCTCAGCTGAGCATGCTTGCTGGCATTTCTGGTATTGGTGAGGAAACTGACCTAATTTTCCAGGCTCTTCTGCCATCCTTGTGCCCAGCCTGGCATCTGTGCAGCCCTCCTGCCTGGAGAGGGCAGCTGACTCTGCAAGCCTTGGAGAAGAATTCTCTATAGGTGTGCACATCTTGTGTCATGGAACAGCCTCACAAGAGAGTTGGGTGTGCAAAGTTTTCCAGAAGAGACAGGAGAATCGGAGCAGGACAGGATCCTCAACAGCAGCCAACCAGGAGGACAACCCTTCAGAACTGGCCTTTTCCTTGGTCCCGTTTCAGTATGATGTGGACGAAGCCTGATAAAGCTGTGGCTCTTCCATCAGCACTACTCCCACTGGATTCCTAGAAGCTCACAGCTGACATTCCACAAGCGCTCAGCTGTTTCATTATCTCGGGCCCTTGGAGACACCCAGGTCCTCTTGCAGTCACTGGAGGGCAGAGAAACAGCATGAACGTCCAGGAGTGGAAGTGGACAGTCTGGAAAAGGTTTTGGCCTCTTTATCAGAATATATTTCTTTTTTGCTTTAAAAATGTTTTTTTTTTTTTTTTTTTTTTTTTTTTATTTTATTTTAGAGAGGGACAGAGAGAACAAGCAGGGTAGAGAGGCAGAGAAAGAGAGAGAGAGAGAGAGAGAGAGAGAGAGAGAGAGAATCCTAGGCAGATTCCATGCTGAGTGCAGAGCCTGAGTAGGGCTTGATCCCATGACACTGGGATTATGACCTGAGCCAAAATCAAGAGCTGGATGCTCAACCGACTGAGCCACCCAGGCGCCCCCAGAATATATTTCTAAATGTATAAAATATTTGGATGAAAAGGAACAAATTGTATTGAAATTCAGTTTTGAAATATTTTAAAAACAGGGGCGCCTGGGTGGCTCAGTCAGTTAAGCGTACGACTTCAGCTCAGGTCATGATCTCCCGGTTGGTGGGTTCAAGCCCCACATCGGGCTCTGTGCTGACAGCTCAGAGCCTGGAGCCTGCTTTGGTTTCTGTGTCTCCCTCTCTCTCTGCCCCTCCCCTGCTTACACTCTGTCTCTCTCTGTCTCTTGAAAATAAATAAATGTTAAAAATAATTAAAAAATAAATGAAATGAAATGAAATGAAATGAAATGAAATGAAATGAAATGAAATGAAATGAAATGAAATAAAATGAAATAAAATATTTTAAAAACAGCTTCGTGGTAAAGTGATCCACAGGCTCCTTTGTTAATGTGCTCTGTAACAAGAGCTAGTGCTGGGGCCGACAGCCACCTGCTTGTAAAGTGGCAGTGAGCAGAAGTGACATCGTGAGACACCTGCAACAACTGCCAGGGGATGTGAAAATACTTAGTTTTATTGGTGACAAAGTCACAGGTATCCCTGCTACTCTAGAAGGTGATGGCCGACATTGGTTATCAAAGTGAAATGTCAAATTTCAGATGGAGATTAGTGAAAATGAAGATGCAATTGCCTTCCTGTCCAACTTCACAGACCCCTTGAATTCTATCCATGGACCCACTTGTGCCCCATGAGCCCCAGACTAAGTACCCTGTTCTCTTTTGGAGGGAGCAGGAGACTGGAAGCTAGACACATTGGGAGGTGGGGGCAGAACACAGTGTTCATGGTGTTTTTCTTCAAATAGTATTTTGTTTTGGGGGTGCCTGGGTGGCTCAGACAGTTGACCATTCAACTCTTGATTTTGGCTCAGGTTATGATCCAAGACTTTGGGTTCAAGCCCTGTGGGGATTCTCTCTCTCCCTCTTTCTCTACCCCTTCCCCTGCTTATGCTCTCTAAATAAATAAGTAAATAAATAAATAAATAAACTTAAAAAAAAAAA